CTGCTGCTGCTGCTGCAGCAGTAACAGCAGCAGCAGCAGCAGCTGCTGCTGCTGCTGCTGCTGCAGCTCGTGAGTGAGAGCTCTGTTGCTGCTTCGCAGGAAGAGTGGCGGTCTTCTTTGAGCTTTTTGGACTGCCGTCTGCCGGATGTGCTCGACTACAAACTGTGAGGGCCTTTGCTGCTGCTGCTGCTGCTGCTGCTGCTGCTGCTGCTGCTGCTGCTGCTGCTGCTAGAGGTATTCCGTGGCTTTTGCTGTTTGTTCGTTGGCCGGTTTTTCGGCTGCTGCTGCTGCTGCCGGCCCCTGCTGCGCATCAGCCGCAGTGCCTGCTGCGGCCACACCACACAGCAGCAGCAGCACAGCAGCAGCAGCAGCAGCAGCAGCAGCAGCGTGTGGGGTGGCGCTGCAGGGCAACCCCAGCTTCGGACTGCCCCGTGCTCTTTGAAGACTCTTATTGCTGCTGCTGGAGAGAAGCCAGAAGCAGCAAAGAGAGTTCTTGGTGCAGCAGGCGCTGGTGTTTGGGGCCCCTGGGGGCCCCCGCTGCAGTGGGGGCCCCCCTAGGGGGCCCCCCGGGGGCCCCCCGTGCCCTGGGGGCCCCCTTCTGGGGCCTGGGCTCCCCTCCCTTGGGTGCCCAGGGGCCCCAAGTCTCTGGGGGCCCCCCCGGGGGTCCCCCCCTGGGGGCCCCCCCGGGGGCCCCCCAGGGCCCGGGGGGCCCCCGGGGCCCCCTAGGGGGGCCCCCAGGGGCCCCCGGGGGGCCCCCCGGGGGGCCCCCCGGGGGGGCCCCCGCTGCAGCAGCAAGGAGGGCCTATTTGCCCCTCGGGGGCTTTTTGTCTCCGTCGGATTTGCCAAGTGTTCCTCCGGAAAGAAAAGGAGTTCATTTATTTATTTTGGTTCATGGACTGCAAGGTAAGAAGAAGTGTTGGAGATTTTATTTTTTTATTTTTTATTTTTTATTTTTTGTTTTGTTTTTTGTTTTTTGTTTTTTGTTTTTTGGTCTTTGGTTTTGTTTTCGTTTTGGTTTTTGGCTTTTTGGGGTTTGCTTTTTGCCTTTTCGTGTTTGTTTGAGGTGTTCTTTTTCTTTTTTTATTTTTCATTTTTTATTTTTATTTTTTATTTTTTATTTTCCTTTTGTTTCTTTTTCTTTTCTTTTTTTCTTTTTCTTTTTCCTCTTAAGTTCTTTCGTTTTCTTTTTCTTATTCTTCTTTTTTCTCTCTTTTCGTTTTTATTTATTTCTTCTTTTCTTTTTCTTTTTTCTTCTTCTTCTCTTTTTTTTCTTCTCTTCTTTTTCTTTCCTTTTTCTTCTTTTTCTTTTTCTTTTTCTTTTTCTTATTTTCTTATTTTCTTATTTTGAATGACAGAGGCCACTGGAAATAAAAAAGCTGCAATTTAAAATCTTTAAAAATAATTTAAAATTGTTTTAAAACTTTTAAAAACAAAAAACAAAAAGAGTTTTAAAAGCCCTGAGTCTCGCGGCCAATCCAAAAACAAAAAAGAAATTTTAAAATTAAAAAAGAAAATAAAAACAAACAAATAAAATGAAACAAATAAACAAATAAACAAATAAACAAACTGAATAAAATAAATAAAACAGATAAATCAAACAAACTATATAAAACAAATAAAACAGAGCAAACAAAACAATTAAAACAAACTAAATAAAACAAATAAAACAAATAAAACAAATAAACAAATAAAACAAATAAACTAAATAAAACAAATAAAACAAATAAAACAAATAAACAAACAAACTAAATTAAAATACAAAACAAGTAAAACAAAAATAAAATAAATAAATTAAAATTGTTTTTAGGAACTCCTCTGGACTTTCGGCTTTTCAAAGCAGCTCTTTGCGCCTCTTACCAGCACATCGCCTTTCTCTCTTCAGCAGCAAACATTGAACACACCGAAGGTCTTTGCTGCTGCTGCTGCTGCTGCTGCTGTTGCTGCTGCTGCTGCTGCTGCTGCGGTGTTGCTGCTGCGATGCTGCTGCTGCTGGTGGAATGTTGCTGCTGCTGCAGTGCTGCTGCTGCGATGCAGCTGCTGCTGTTGGAATGTTGCTGCTGCTCTAATGCTGCTGCTGCTGCTGCTGCTGCTGAGGTTTTGCTGCTGCAGTGCTGCTGCTGCTGGTTTGGACGTTGTTTTTGGCGGTTTTGCGGCTGCTGCTGCTGCTGCGGTTTCGCTGCTGCTGCTGCTGGCGCCGCAGAAACAAAGGACTTGGGGAGTCTTCTGCTGCAGCTGGTCCGCCCAGTTTCCCATCATCTGCTGCTGCTGCTACTGCTGCTGCTGCTGCTGCTGCTGCTGCTGCTGCAGGAGACATAGAGGAGATGGGGGAGCGGCTGGCAGCAGAAGTGTTGTCTCACGTGAGGGACTTTTACGGGCCCACTGGCCTCGACAAAATCTCCTTCGTGGGCCACTCCCTCGGCGGCATCATCGGTCAGCTGCAGCTGCTGCTGCTGCTGCTGCTGCTGCTGCTGCTGCTGCTGCTGCTGCTGCTGCTGCTGCT